CTACATGTACCACTTAGCAGCATATATACATATTAAAGAGCGCCATTGACATATTCGCCATGCAAAATAACTGGTCCACATTGATTTTGGCTGTTATAAATTGTTTAGTATTTACCCAAAAGTACTTAATCTTCTGAAGCTACTTTTCACAACTCTTCATACATTTTTAATACAAGTCCAAGAAGGAGCTCATCCATTATTAAATATTTTTAAACTAATACTGTCATCCTAAATAATCAATTAGTCAGTGATTGACCTACAGTATACAGGGCCGCCCCGAACATCTCATTTACACACTTGAAGGCGAGTTAGTGAGGTGAGGTCCTGCCACCTTTTCATCAAGGTTGTTTAAATAATGGAGATGGCAGCAGGCAGCTGTCCTTCAGCGCTGATGACGGGGAGAGAGCCAAAAGCTGCCAAAAAACAAACAGTAGCTCTGCCATCACAGCCTGCTCAATCAATGCAGAGGAAATCCTTCCCATTCAATTTACATCAATCTGAGGGAGGTTCACCTGAGGCCGCAGGACAACGCTGCCTCGGTCTCTTTCCAACTCTCATGAAGAGGCAGACTTTGCATTAACTATTGCAACATAGTAAATGCTGCATACTGGAATGACTCCAAAGGTCCATAAGGTCTATATTACGAGTCCATAGTGCTTCTTACTTTCTTTTATTCCAGGCGGAGATATCTGGGCTCAATTTCCAACAAATGGGTGTGAAATGGGTTACATGTATGGTCCTCCCTTAGCTTTCTCCTTAGACTTGATATGAAACCATCAAGGCAACAAAACCACAACAATAAACAATCCATTGATCATAAAAACCTGTTAAATCTTAAAAATAATATGAAAAATAACACAAACTGTTTTCAGTGTCAAAGACGATAAACATCATTCGTAGAAGACACAATTGCCACAGGTGTAAATCATCATTATCAAAGCATTAGTAGCATTTTTTGTCATTACTTCAGTGCATCTTGAACTGTGTCATGTTTCATTACATGTTGCCCACATCTGCAGAAATAAATTAAAGACATCATTTCTAAAAAACAAAGCAACATTTTTTTTTCACCATTGTTACAGAAATGTGATCCACTCTTTTCATACTTCGATAAACCTTTCAACCAATTACATCAGAGAAGCTCAATTAAATCCTGCCATTATGACAACAACCATTGGAACATAAGCTAAAACTCTTCAAACCTTGGTCTAAGATCCAAATCTTAAACCATTCAACAATTGTTCACATTTCAAAAGTCAGAAAATGTGACTCCAATCTTCTCTGGCCATATAAATAAATGCATGATGTATTTATTGGACTTACTGTATTTGATTAACATTACTACCATCAGTTAGAACTCTGTGTTCCCCTTTAAAGCTCAGTAACACAGTCCATCACTTTGACATAGTAAGCCTTACAAACTGCTGTATATTACAGTGTGGTTGATTTCTAAATGCTACTTTATCCCTATAAACATGGTGTTAACGAGACCCTGGTTGTGCTGCCCCTGACTGAAGCTCTTCCCCTGGTGGGTTAGTGCCAGGCGAGAAGAGCTGTACTGTATGTGCTGTGGAAGCATCATCTTTAAAAAGGCTAAATTTAAACCCCCAGAGTCCTCGCCTTGGTATGCAGAAGGCTTCCAGAACAACATAAACTCCAAATAAGCCCTGAGGAGCAACTGGTGGAGAGCAAGCCTCGATCACCTGGTTTTAAAAATGGTGGAACAGCAGCTCACCTGGACAACCAAGTTCAAATGATTCCTAAACATTTCAGAAAAATGAAATAAGTATTTCTTTACCTTTATTTTAAAACCATTTAGTAATAGCAACTACTGTACACCTGCAAAGCTTTCCATTCTCACACATATGCAGTGTGATGTTAAAAATTAAACAATGAGTCTTTGATGTCAGACAGAGGTAAACAAAAGCAGACGTATCATTTCTCCTCAACTAAACTTTAAAAAAAAATACAATCTTAATGAGTGTTTGCTCCAAATCTGTAAGAAAACATGCCATACTTGTTCAATTAACTTCGAATTTAGCTCAACATTTTCACAAGAACTGTCTAATATTACTTCAAATGTAACAATCCTGCAAATTACAGATTCATCTTGATGTATAATGCTGGTTTGACTTTGACTTGTTAGCGCACTCAGTCTATGAGCTACATTTAGCTAGTATCTTAGCATCATAACAGCACTGCAGAAAAACTATTTTTTAAGAACTTTTGATAAACCCAAATAAGTATGTTATCCATCCCAGATGTTCCCTTGCTGTAACACATTTTAGCTGAAAAACATCCTTTTAAAGTGGTGTAAAACAATCAGTATTCAGGATAGAGCGGCCTATTGGAGCTTAAGGCAAGGCAAGTTTATTTATATAGCACTTTTCAACACAAGGCCATTCAAAGTGCTTATTCAAAGACATTTTATAATTCCCAGAAAACATGACAATCACTTGGTTACGAAATATTCACCTGCAAATGTTCTCTTGTGTCATTTCAGTGAAGAAGCAGGTTCATTTCTGTTTTTGACAAGTATGTGATTGTTTAGCACAACAACTCAACCGACAAGTAACTATCCAAAACATAACACGTAATTACACGTCATTTCATTGCACTGCAATTACCAAAATCTCTGTTTTGACAACACTGTAATTAGACTCAAAAAGAGCTTGTACGTTGTCTGATTCCTGCATAAAGCCAATCTATTTAGTTTGAAATACAATCAAAAGCTGAACTCAGATCCTTTTCTGAAGATAACAAACAATCTAAAGTAAAAAAGAAGTCATTCCAAATCCATGAGCAATGACTTTCACTGAGTTGTTCTGCCTTTTATTTAAGCGTTTATATATCAGCTTCAGTGTGTGTCTATGGAGGTACAGAGGGGGCTGGTGTCTCCATCTTGCAGTGGACGTGTAACATTTTCCTCAGTTTTCTTTGACACATAAGTCCTGATCGCTGCCAGCTTTCCCAACGTCACACATCAACAGCAAGGTGAGACTGCGTCTGCGTCTGCCCTGAAATGTAATCACAATGTCTGGACTTCTCTCGACACATGGACTTGTCTCCTGTATCCAATTACAGGACACTTTGCAATTTTATTCCTTAAACACGTCATCTGACATGACAGCTGCTCATTTTGGCACATTTTGTCCTGCAACTGTTTTCCTTCCAAAACAGAGGCTACAATGAAGTTCAACAAAAAGCATGAAAGACTGATGTTTTTTCCAATTAATCCTCCAATTGTAGGGCTTCCTTTGAAGGCACGTTTCTCTCACCACCAAGATCTGATAACAAGGCCTCTGTGGACCCAGGGGAACCCCCTCCCTTTCAAACTGCTGTTGCTGTCAAATAACCAGCATGCCATTGTGACAGTTGAATCTGAGAGGCATGGGTCAGCATATCACTGGCATCACAAATAGTAGGAGCTGTTAAGTGTTAGGGTCCCGCCTGCCACTAATAACCAGCCAAGCCTTTGCTGGGATTACATATTGATTAATGGCGGTGTGTGTATATCAACATCTCCAAGCCATGAGAAAGGGGCCCACTGACGTTGGGCTATCGGCCAAATGGACGTCAATGGAAAACCAAACCAGCATGTTCATCACATTTAATAAACCAAAAATGTACTTGTCATGAAGTAATACAGTCTGAAAACGGAAGTATAACTATATTCATGACCACCAGGTGAATGGGTTTAATGAGAGTCAATATCAAGTTGCATCCTGGGATATGTAGGCTCTATTAAATACAATTCAATATATCTATGTGCTGCTCAAAAGCCCAAAAACTGTATGGAGGTTTTACACTAAATTGCTGGAGTATCCCCTCACTGGAGAACAATAAAACATTGCAATAATCATCATTACTGTGAATATGACAAAGTGTAAATAGGCAAATAATATAACTGCTTAAACATTATGGTAAGTTAGGAAATCGTTTTGACTGTAATGCAACTTTCATAACCTTAGAAGATGTGTACATTATTACTAAATTAGCTAAAACATGCATAGCCGCCAGTATAGTCCTTATTATACTAACTATTGATATTACTGAGATAGCAAAAAACAAGTTCAACCAACACATAATGTCACATCAAACTGCTATGCTATTAGAAAGTAGTGCTTTATAAAACCATGAGATCAATAAGGGGGTCTTTGAGTAAGTTTAAGGTTTCCAATTAACACCAAAAAGTAAACCAAGCACAGCACATTTGAAGATTGACACAATGCCACACCAAGTTAAATTCAAGGAAAGGATAATAAACTAAGAGCAGTGCAGAAGTATATGGCATGAGACTAGACATCCCAGCTGCATGTTATGGTGCATGTGTCCTAATAACCGAGTCTTATCGCTCTCCATGCAACACGGGTCACAAAGCTTCATGAGGCAAGAGAAGAATACCATCGTGACAGATATTCCCACCACACCAACATACAAGCTGTCATATCATTTACAAGGATAACTGCTGCTGTGCATAACCACATAGAGCAGAGGCAGCGTAAGCGATCTGCGTCAAACAACTAAAATAGTAATCAGCAGGAGGTGGAGGAGCACAACTTATGGAACTCTTCCCACCGAGGAGCAGAATACATCCATGGAAAGTGAATATTTAAGCAAAGAGCAAGTGCACAAGGCGTTCCCGAGAGATCAGAAAGCGAGGAAGGGTGGGAAAATATAAAGGGGGCAGGTGTTGGGAAATGGCAAGAGAGTGTGAAGTCATTGTTGCCCTTGCACCAGCAGACAGGATGTCTCATTGAGATTCCCCTCATCGGGACTCCTGTCGACAGGTGCGCCGTGGCAACCTGCCGCAACTTCCAGGGGAAAAAAACACCATTCATGCACAAGTAAAAAATAAACCACTGATGGTGCCTTTTCTTTCCAAAACTTGCACAATAATCCAACTTGGATCGGCGATTTGACTTAATTGTCCACTGATTGGCGTAAAGTGCACGCTATGAATCGGCTCAGCACGCACCCATGACATTATCTTTACTTACAGTTCTCAAGAACTGGATTTCGTCTTCACCTTCTCCGCCTTCAGCCATGGCTGTGAAGGAGCCTGCTCAGACTCTGGAAGCCACCACTGACTGCCGGCAGAAACGCGATGCTGTGCCTCTCAAGACGATATTAGCATACAGCTCATCCACAGCCATATAGGGCAGCCCGGCGGAGCCCCCTCCTCCCCCCCCCTCCTCCTCCTCCTCCTCCCCTCTTCCTCCCCCTCCTCCCTCTGCCGGCAGCAGCAGTAAAGACCCGGGTAGCAGAGGACGACCCCCCGCTGGTGTGATGCTGCTGCTGATGCTCAGTGGATCAAATACTTAAAACAATATATTTTAGGTGAAACCCCTTTTGATCCAAATTGAGTCAACAGTTGTCCCTGTCTGACAATGACGCATGGTGGTCAGATGAATGGCAGCAGTGGGGCTGAATGTAAAGTTAGGACTGGTACCCAGAGGTGGAAAAAGTACTCAGATATTTATTTCAGATATTGTAAAAGTAGAAAAAAAACAGTGTCAAAATACTTTGTTTCTAGTAAAAGACCAGCATACAAAATGCTACTTAAAAAGTCCTGCATACAAAATTAAGTATAAGTACAAAAGTATTGGCATTCAAATATACTTAAGGTACCAAACGTAATGTGCGTAATTTCCCATTGTTCAATATATATACTTTGCTGGATTATAATTAATAATGCATCAATGTGTTCATCGTTGCTGGTAAAGGTGGAGCTATTTGATTACCTTATATACTGCTACTGAATATGTAGTAGCAGTATAGGTAATATACCCCCCCCCCTCACCTCACCTCACCCATACATTCACACTTGTGTAAAAATTGTGCAGACATGTCATTTTAGTTCACAGGAATAGATCTGTTTTTACTCTCGGGAGGGAAAACACACCTCACTGCTCTCGCTTATTAGTTTCACTGCCAGCCTTCTGCTTAATTGCATGTCCTCTATTTGTATGCAAATGTTACTTTATCTTTTCTTGTTTGCCAGCTTGCTCATTAGCTTTGCTAATTCAGGAGAGTGATAATCAGACTCAGGTGTTGTAATGATTAAGTTGGCTCAAATATCAGTTTTTATTTCACTATAAAAGTCTAATGTAATCTGGCTGCTGCAGCTGTGAAATCAAAGCCAAGATATACAGGTGTCTCTATTGTGAACCATTGAGCACTGTGTTGCTGAGAAACAGTGAGGTTTCTTTTGCCTACTTATTTAATTTAACTTAAAATGTATGTTAATTGGATATCAAATATATACTTGTTCTTACTTCAATGATATATAGTCAAATTTAAAAAGAGAGTTATAGCTTTCAAGGTAACACTCACATTATTAGGATTATATAAAGGCTACATTTCATTGTGTACTAAATTGAAGTCTATATTAATAATAACAACACATAGATGCTGTGCTGTTTATATACAGGACATCAGTCCATCCATATTATTTTCAGCTTAACTGAATCTACCTTAAACTTCAGTGTCTGTACAGAGTAAACCCCAGTCACCAGCAGACAGGTGTCCATATGTGCTCTTCATACGCTCAGGAGAGACACCAGAATAATCTGCAGATCAGGTTTCCTGCTGACACTTCACTGACCTCTAGTGGTCATGTAGTGAACTTACAAAGGCAATACTAAAACTATATATGACCAGTTAGTAATTAAAACAGAAGACACAGAATAAGCTGGAGCCACAGACTGCTTTCCCTATTGTATTTCAGGTTGAGGGTTCATTCTGCTCTATAATTGCTTTTCCCTTTTGAATACATTTTTATTTTAATGCATTTTTTCAAAACGGTGCACTTTGGACTGTTGGTTGGACAACACATGTTGAATGTTTACACACCAAGCACTCAACCCATGAATGAGTAATAAGCATCTGATTAAACCTAATGAAAAGATAGATTATTTGCATCCTGATACAAAATAGTTTATTATATAACAAATTATAAGGATAGTAGAATGAGTAATATGAATAATAATATGAATAATAATAATATGGTCATTGCTGACATTTTTCTACTTTTAGAGCTTTGACTTACTTTGATTACTGTTCCTCCTTATATTTCAATACTGTTACTTAAGTAATATTTTACTGCTGGATTTTTGCTTGTAAACAAGACTTAATACCAGTAATGTGTAATTAATACTTTATTTGAGTAAAGGATTTTCATTTGAACTAAAAGTAGACAAAAGGTGTCTTCACAAAGCCAGAAACAAAACAGTATATCCTGCTTCACTGTGATCATTCAGCAGATCGGTGTCAATAGGATTAGATTGATTTGGGCAAATCCTCACTGAGCTACCATCTGTTGGTTTGTATGGTCCTTCAGTACCTGACGGTCTTCAGAGGATTAATGACAGTGACTCTTCTGAGGAGCCAATAGGAGACATTCGAATCCTCATGGACAGCGCTGATTGGATGGAACCCCTGTCTGTCACTCCAGTGAGCGGGGAGTTGTCTTCTGTCACTAAAGGATCACTGAAGAACAACAGAGAAGAACCTGCTGCTGCTAGCTGCTAGAGATAACGAGTAAGTGAATGCTTTAATACATGTGGCACTGCTTGTTATCAGCTTTTATATGATTATATTATGTGAATATGTATCTGTTTTAATAAAATAATTGACAATATGATGTTTAAAGATACTTCTTTTGACTCGTTGCAAGTCTACTGTCCTTTGTTGTCTTATACCAAATCAAAAATAAAATAAACATTTAAAAGTTATTAACGGTAATAATATATGGTGGTAGGAATAGGCTACTCAGATCTTTGCATATATGTGTAAGTATTACTAATACTGCATCTAATACAATTGAGCTAATTTGACTTGTTATTCTGCCTGCTAGCTTGATACAAAATGCAACATCATTTATTACTTTTTTATAATATTTTGCTTTAGATATGAATCTGCAAAGTAACGAGTAATTACATTTTTTTACAAAAATACATTTAAGTTAGGGGTGCACCGAATGGGAAATTCTTGGCCGAAACCGATACCGAAAATAGGAAACAGTTGGCCGAAAGCCGAATGCCGAAAGGCCGAAAATGATTAATAGAAATATATATATATAATGTATACATTTGTTACCAATGTTGTTCAGCTACCTGATTATGGAAATAGACATGATTATGGCAAAACTTAACTTAAATAATAATCACTATTATGGGTCCATAAAACATTTATTCAGCACTTTTGAATGCATACAGTACATTTATATATGTCATGTATTATTGCTAAAAAACATTATATCGCAGTCTTAGTGTCGCCAACTCGTTTCTAATATGCAAAGACAACAAATGCGTCTATGATGTATTTTCGATCAGACGAGATCTCTCTCTCCCGTCTGTGTGCGAGGGGGCGGGGCAGTTTACACACACGCAGCTGCTACATGCAGCGGAGCACACTGCGGAGATGGCGGAGAGAACGCGCTCCGAGGTGTGGTTAAACTTTACCCGTCTCGATGTGGAGAATACTTGTTACCATAAGTGCAATAAGAGTTTAGCATGTAAGCACGAGCAATTTGTCTAAACATTTAGCAAAAGTGCACCGCATGCAGACGGAGGAATGCACCGGGTTCGACCGTCTTTCTAGCAGCTCTGTAGCTCCATCCACGAGTAACGTTTCCACGTCAGGTGTTATGTATGCTAGCAGCAACACACGGAGTTAACTCCATGATACAAACATGGGTTAATGATTAGAGGTAACTGAGTTATTTAGTTTGTTAACATTTCAGCTATTCTGTTTACAGTCTGTCATCAGATTATTTAATACGATTTGTTAAAGGCTCAGGGCAATCTCGATGACAAAGGTCAATGTCCCCCCCCCCCCCCCCCCCCTGTGAGCCAGCCGCGAGCATGGTCGCCGCGTCTTTATTACGTCATCACAACAACACGTTAGGTTACCAACGTAAGCCTGTTCTGACATTCGGTGATATTTTTTCGGTGCTAAAACCCTTTCGGCTTTCTAACCATTTTCGGCCGATAATTTTCGGTGGCCGAATATTCGGTGCATCCCTAATTTAAGTACAATATGGGCTTTCAAAATGTAGTTGAGTACAATTTTTTAATAAGTCTAGAATAACAATACTGAAGTCGATAAACCTCAATTTCACTTTATAACAGTACTTGGAGTAAATGTTATTTAAGTTATTCTTTTATCAGTGTAGTGTGAAGTGTCAGCAGTTGTGTTTTCTCTGAATTGATTTTTCAGTAAAATCACTTTTAAGTTATATAGCTGGATCAAGGCATTACGGAATGTGTTTCCCATGCATAGTATCGTTGCACAAACCTTTGTGTCTGGTTGTGATGCCTTAGAGTAGGGATGCATTGCCATTTTGCTCCATGGTTAATTGGTTTATAACTTCCTGGACCAAACATTTAGTGCAAAGAAAGTCTATAACAACTTCCCAAAGCCCAACAAGACCTATTCAGATGTCTGTTAAACCAATCAAGGCTCCAAAAGCCACACAAATACATTGTTAATAAAAGATTGAGAAAACAGGAAAATCAGAGAAGCTAATGTAATAAGAAGATAACAAAATGTAGTGCATCATTTAGGGTATTTTATTGCACTTAGAACTCACAACACTTGGTTTGGTGCAGTGTCAAACCCTGAGAAACATCTCCTTCTACTTTTATTCTTCTTCTTATGGATATAGTTGGACAATTTAACCCTTAGAGTGACTGGACCCTACACTCTTCCATAAGTGGGTCAAAAAGGACCCGTATTAGAATAATATGTGTTTTTATGTCATTTTGGTAAAGAAAAATCACTTGTATAATATTTAGTATTATATTTTGGTTCACACTAGAAATATTTTATATTTAATTTTTCACTATTTATAATTTTAGATTTTTTTTTAGATTTTGAAAAAAAACCGTTTTGAACATATTGATGCAAAGATCTCTGCTATTCTGAGACCCTCACAGTATTCCAGTCCCTTTTCAAAACTCATCTCTTGTCCTCTTGTCTACTCATAGCCCACCCCCCATCAATCCATGCCGGTTGATCAAGTTTGATAATCCTATACCCCCCACCCTAACCTTCCCTTATTGTAAAGCCATGTTGAGTCCTTGAAAAGCCCTATACAAATATAATGTATTATTATTA